AGTCATTGCTAAAGGTTTCCGAGTGATCTCCTATAAACGCACTAAGAATGGGAATATGTAAACGCACTTTCTTCAATCTGGACTGATTAATTAAAATAAGACTGTATTTTGAACTCTATTTACCACTAAATTTATTTACATTAAATGGCAGGCATTTTGATAGTTTCATTAGCCATTTAGGTGATTTCAGGCTTCACAGAGGAGAAATATCAAAGTGAAAAAAATTCGAGAGAGAGGGGGAGAACAGAAGAGTGTTTCAAAGATGTAAAAACGACAGACACAAAGGTAGAAAAAAGGTGAGGTGAGTACTGTGAAAGTAGTCGAATATGGCATACAATGGGTGATGGTAGTTTAAAGTCAGAAGTCAACTGCCGGTTTATAGACTTTTTGCCGTATGAGAATACGTTGCCCAGGGTGCACCACGTGGAGGTAAGTCTATCGCACACCCCATTTACCACTGAATAGAAGTGCAGATACATCTAATCGCTTTGAGTCAATTAATACACAATCGAATGTAAGTCATTTTCACATAGTTGGATTTCGGAGTCTGACTACTTTTTTTCCCTGTGAGTCCGCGTATTGATAAGGGGCCGATGGTTGACTCTAATGCACCAAATGCGGGATTTGCTCGTCCCGAGAAAGGAAGAAAGACTTTTGCGGCTTTCAGATTTGTTTTTTTGTTTTCCCTCCTCCGACTTGTTAATAAACGGGTTATTGTTTTTTTTTTGTTTGTTGGTTCATATTCGCCCTTTTCTCCCTAGATAAGCGAATGACAACGATGACAGTAAGTGACGATGCCATCAGATCCTTCTATATGCGAAAGCGCGAACTCCTCCTTCTCTTATTGGTAATTCTTATCTTCACTTTGTCTTATCCCAAGGTTGCTTTGTTATGGTTACTTTATTTATAAAATACATCTTTTTTCTCGCCCCTCCTCCCCTCCCCATAGGCCACAGAGATTGAACGGTTGTTGGTGTGGTACAATCCGCAAGGCGTGGCGGAATTGTCCCTTGAAGGTGAATCTGATGTTGAAGTGTGGTTGCGCAAGGAACTTCTTCGCGAAAAGAATTCTGTTCATTGTGTTCAGCTCGCCTGGCAACTATGTCCTGCTGCTGCTATCTTCCTTCAACGGAGGTTAGTCAGTTGGTTAGTTTGTGGATGATCAGCCAACCTAATGCTTTTGTCTACCTTTACTTAGCAATGAATAATGAGGGTCTGGCCGATTTAATATCACAAAAATGGTCAAGAGACTTCTAATGTGATTTAGACCGATTCTAAGATCAAAAGTGTTGTCAAGTGTAACTCCGGTGAAGGTACTGGTAACAATTATTGAACTGCTCCTTCCATGCGGTTTGTCACTCATAAGGTGGGCGTTAATGAATTTCAGGACTGAAATGAAGGTGACAAATAAATGCATTTCAAATTACTAAAATCACAGGCCTCTAAATCGGTTAAAAGGCAACTTCTAGTGGATGCTAGACAGGCAAAATTTTGTTGACAGCTTCTCTTTTTCTATTTTTTTTCGAAAAATCAGTCACTTCTGAGATGTATGCGTAAAAGGGAATCTTTGCAAATAGAAGTGAGGTGAAACTGAAATTAAATATTAGTTTCCACTTGAAGACTTGCTCCTGAGTTTAGTCTTGATCTTTGTTATTCTTCCACAAGGTATCTCCAACGTTTTCCTTTCCCTTCTGACATTACGCCCCCCCCCCTCCACCTTATAGCTTTCCATCACTCACTTTTTATAATACGCAGTGATAGATTAACCGATCAGAAGGGCTGTTTCGATGAATGTTTTTTCTTATCTTTGGTCGGATTTTAGTCTTTGAATCGGCCTAAGGAGACCTTAAGCATATGCTACTTAAATCATTATAATTAATTAAATATATTCATACATTAGGTTACGGGGTTCTGACTCTGTGCGTGAAGAAGTTAGTCGTTTGGTGCGTCAATCACCCATCCTGGTATCTCATGTGCCAGCCGCTCTACAATACCTTGCAAATCCATCCAATATTGAAGCCGACATTCCAGAGGTAAGCTTATTCTTCTAACTAACAGAATATCCACTTTATCTCAATTTATCGCTTTCATTTCAGCTCTCTTACGTTCTCTCATGGACTCCTGTTGCCCCAGTTACCGCCATATCATTCTTCTCGCGCATGTATCCACAGCATCCTCTTACTCATCAGTATGCTGTTCGGGTGCTTGACACTTATGCTCCTGAGACCCTACTCTTCTATGTTCCTCAGCTTGTACAGGGCACTCGATATGATAAGGTAGGTGTCCACCCCTTGTTAGGACTGCTATTTAACTTAGAGCTCAATCAACACTCGTATAGCCTAAACTGCTCAGATTCAGAAGAGGGAATGGAGATAATTTTTGCTCTATGTGCCGAACTTACCTGTTAAAAAGAATGAGCCGCGTACCGTCATGGGCTCTCTCTTTAAATAACTATTCCAGCAGTAGTGATATTGGGTGGAAAATCAATGATCGATAATTGAGTGCACACCAAGGAGAAGCCTGCTGGCGGTTTTTCTTCCCCTTTACATTCTGGCATGGCATTCAAAGTAGAGTTAATTGAACATGTAGTCATCCCTCTAACATGCTGTTTACGACAAACTAAACCCCCTTGAAGAATCCAGTTAGAACACGTCTTAAATCGATCGCATCGCACTATGGGCGTGTTAAATGAAATTAATTAGCTGGGCGAAAAAGATAAACTTGACGACAAGCAACACCACAGTAATCGGTCGTGTGTTTCCAATCTTAATGGGAATAAAAGTTTAAAAAGTAGACCACATTTGGATAAGACCAATAGACGGTAACATCTAGTTTATTCGGTACTGAATCACTTTTGTTGTAATTCCCCATTTCCTAATATGTAGTTTCCTCTGCTATTCTTTCAAAGCATGTGTTTCTTCTTTAGTTGGGCTACATGTCTGAGTTCATTCTGAGTTGTGCCCACCGTTCACCACTCCTCGCACATCAGTTGCTCTGGAACATGAAGACCAATATTTATCGGGACGAGGAAGGTCGTGAAAAGGACATTGATATTGGTTCTCAACTCGAATGGTTGTCGGAAGAAATCACAAAGTGCTTTTCTGGTCCCGCTCTTGAATTCTACAAACGCGAGTTCGAATTCTTCGATCAAATCACTTCAGTGTCTGGGGAGATTCGACCCTATCCAAAGGGCCCAGAACGCAAGAAGGCTTGCCTGGAAGCTCTGAAGAAGATCAAACTTCAACCGGGATGTTATCTTCCTTCGAATCCTGATGCTATTGTTCTAGAAATTGACTATAATTCTGGCACTCCTATGCAATCGGCAGCTAAGGCTCCCTATCTAGCAAGGTTTAAGGTAAGCTCATCTTTAGTATATCTACATCCCTAACGATGATTATTTTAACGGCTTACCGTCTGCTCTTTGACAGGTTTCAAGATGTGGTATAACTCAGTTGGAAAAGAGAGCCATTCAAGCTGCTTCTGAGATAGCAAACAACTCAGTAACTTCAACTACAAATCCAAAACCTACTGCTGAAACCGCAGTACCCTCGCGGAAAGATTCGCATATTTTCTCCCTCCGAAGTCCCTTGTAAGTTGCATTTTTGTGCTTGTGTAGAATCGATCAGGGTACATTACGCACCATGGTGGTGTAGTAGCTAACTCAGGACTTTATGTGTTTCCGGTAAACAGAGCGATCACATTACCTCGAGTTTCACACTCTAGGATGCCTTTTCGTTGCCTAAGGCAATAGTTCTCTTAGGGGCGGGATATGGAG